ATATATATATATATATATTAATCAATGTTCTTTTCAATAACAAGAATCTACTAAAATTTATGAGACTTCTATTTTGTGAGAAACAATTCACACAAACTATTGACAATCTGAAAATATCAATTGCTGTAATATGAAGACTAGCGAAAAAGACGAATTAAGAAACCCAAAAATCCTATTTCAGCATTGAATTTTTTTGGTTAATTCATCACCCCTTTTCCAGAAAAAAAAAAAAAATATATATATATATATATATGAACCATTGTATCATATACGAATTTTTTTTAACAAATATATGAACTTGGACTGCATAGCATTTATGAACACAATATGAACATAATAATAATAACTGCTATACGAAAGAAAATAAATAAAAAAACATGTAAGAACATAATATGAACAGCTTTTGAACAATAGTTTATTAATTATAAACGCATTCAGGAGCGATTCTTTGTCAATTGGAGTTTTATACATTCATTGCATCCACACCGTTTAAGGTTCACCCCTTGTTCATATATGTTTCTGGTCTTATGTGGTTGTTCACCCCCTTGTTCATATATGTTTCTGGTCTTATGTGGTTGTTCAACCCTTGTTCATATCGTGTTCACTCTTTATTCATATCGTATAAAATATATGAACACATAACCCCGACGCTATGAACATCAGGTGCAAACACTTACACTAATATAAAGATTTGGTATCAAGCTTAAAAAATAACATTTGTGTTCATATGATATAAGTAACATGAACACAATGGTTCATGATTCATAAAARTCGATAATATGACAATATGAAAATGAGTCGTGCATGTACTTCCATTTGAACATGTGAATTAGGTAGGTATTAATAGTTAAAAAAAGTTACCAATGCAATATGAACAACAAAAAACACAACACATCATAATAAACATAATTTCGATTAAAACGAGTCTAATAAAATATTAATTCATTACCAAGACATTCACTTTGATTAATTTATTCACTTCCCGAACTCGAAATATGATTGTCACCATAAACCATTTTAATCATCTCAATGTTTTCGATTTTTTTTCTAATTCGTTTATCCATAATAGCTTGAACGATACCGAAGATTTTACTACCGTGTTTCCTTCACGAATCAAAAACTCATTAAACAATAAAAATGGAAGATCAAGATTAAAAAATAAATAAAAATATCAATATTATAAATGTATATTTTTAGGGATTTTATGATTTTGTAACTCCCC